TGGTGTTCCACCAACTCACCAGGAAACCGTTTGAACCCATGGCAACCTGTGACTTACAATTCGCTGCATGGAAAACTGCCTTCTTGGTGGCAATCACGTCAGCCAGGAGGGTCAGCGAACTGGTGGCACTCCGCCATGATCCCCCGTACCTGGTCTTCCTGCCAAATGGGGTGCACTGGGTACCAGATGTCTCCTTCTTACCTAAAATTGTCTCTGAATTCCACTTAAACTCCAAAGTCTTCCTACCTGACTTCTTCCCATGTCCGGATGGGGAGGAACAACGCCTTCTCCATACCTTGGATGTCAAGCGGGCACTGCTCTTCTACCTAAATCGGACACTGTCCACTAGGAAGGACAATAGCCTGTTTCTCTCCTACTGCAAAAAAATTCTGGGGTTGAGGATTTTGGCTCAGTGCCTGTCCAAATGGATTGTCGGGACGATAAAATTAAGCTACCTGCTAGCAAAGCACGCTCTCCCTGTCTGAAGGCGCATTCCACCAAATCTATGGCGACCTCCACAACTTTCCTGAAGAGCGCATCGCTATCTTCTATCTGCAAAGCTGCTACGTGGTCTACACCAACCAAGTTTATTCGGCATTATGCGCTAGATGTTCGTGCACAGCATTAGGTCGATCTGGGTCGTCTGGTCTTATCTTCTGCGGTGCACTGAGCTTGACAGCACCCACCTCCAAGTGAGCTACTGCTTTTCAATCTCCCATAGGTGTGATGCACAGAGACCATGAAGAAGATAAACAGGTTGCTTACCTGTAACTGATGATCTTCGAGTGGTCATCTATGCAATCACACCGCCTGCCCTTCCTTCCCCACTGCTGTCTTCCTTGGTTTTTTGGTTTTACATTGCTTTGGTTGATGGCGGTCAGAAGGAACTGGCGGGATGTCCGCGCTCCACCCTCCTGGGCATGCACAGTCTGGGTTCCCACGCAGACTCAGGGTGGAGGCACGAAAAATTCCGTTGTGAGCTTTGTACAATACCGATTAGATCAGAGCAGGCGCACTGGATCCCATAGGTTTGACTGCACAGATGACCACTCGAAGATCATCAGTTACAGGTAAGCAACCCATTTTTCTCAATTCAACCTGCTTTTTCTACTGCTATTAGGGCATCAGAAGAAACATTTGACTCAGTCTGGGAGGTTTGTTCTTAACTGCTTTAGGTTCAAAATTAAAGTGACAGAGTAGTAATTTTTAAAAAATCATGTCCAGTCATGTAGATGCTTCTTTTTTTAAGCAGGGGGGACACCTGAATCTGTCACTGAAGACATTCTTTGCCAGACCTCAGATTATGTACCTGAATACATATGCAGAAGACCCTTGCTAGTCAGAAAATGAACATTTGACAGCTTGGGTCTGAACAATGTCCCCATTCTGCCCCCAGCAGCTGCGTGCCACGATGTGTCTGGAAGCTCACAAGTAATGTTCAAGAGGTGACAACCACTTTCTGATGTCTGTCCCCATGATTAGATCAATTAATGGAGAATGAATCTATCAATAGCAAGGAAGTGACATGACTAAACAGAATCCCCACATGTAGAGGACGGGTAGCTGTGATCATCACACACTGAGGCCAAATGACAGCAGAAGACTGTCAAGGCTCTGTTTGTAGCAGTAGAAAAGAGCAAGAGTCCAGTAGCACCTTAAAGACTAACAAAATTTGTGCCAGGGTATGAGATTTTGTGAGTCACCACTCACTTCTTCAGATACAGCTGGAATGCGAGTCTATCTATCTATACTGGAGAGTGATTTCAGATGCTGAATGACAATAGCAGGCTTGATTGGATTAGGTGTGATACGCAGAGGGGTAGTAGGCGTGGAGAAATCAGCACTGGTAATTAGACAGGAAATCCAGGTCTTAATTCAGTCCAGGAGGATGCATTGTCTTGAGCTTCATTGCAATTTGGCAGCTTCTTTCTAATCTCCCTTTAAAATTCCTTTATAAGATAACTGCTGCTCTTAGGTCAGCAACTGAATGTCCTGGAAGGTTCAAATGTCCCCCCACTGGTTTTTGAGTGTCATAGTTTCTAATGTCAGACTTATGTTCATTTATTCTTTTTCACAGGGACTGGCCTGTTTTTCCAATGCAGAAGGTGGAAGGGCATTCAACAATTATTTAAAGCTAGCCCTCTTCTTGAACTTAGATCTTCTGTAATCAGTGCAGATGAGCCTGCAGTAATTATTAAAGTTTATAATGCATTAACATCTCATATAATAGTCTCATTGAGTCAAAAACTTGACAGTCCGAACAAGGTGAGTGGGAACTCTGCAAACCCCTGGGTTGACAAGGAATGCAGAGACATGAAAATTCTCATAGTCACTATCATGACTCTAGGGATTTAGCTCTTTCTCTAGAATAGTTCAAGCGTCAGAATCAGCTCCAACAGCTTATCAAAAAAAGAGAGGAATTATTATATTAATAATCAATGGGAACTACTTCAAGCCATGGCTCTAAATAATTTTTTAAAAATTGGGCTATAGTTTCGGGATCACTATGTGCAGAGGCTCCTGCCATGTGTTGCCAGACGGGCTTTCTTCTTATGTTTGGGTTCAGTATTTTTTGACCCTGTGAGCCACTTGATCTCTCAGAATCTAACTCTGAAGTGACTTTGCTGATTCAATAACATACTAAAAGAGGTTTAAAAAACCCAAAAACGAACCAAGAGGGAAATATGAGTCCAGAGGGCATAAGACTGAGCATTTAAGGAGTTTGTCTTATGTGTATAAAAGGATGCCTCACAGGCTCTACAATCTGGTTTTCTGACAGTGCAATTCAGAGGGTTTTTTTGTTTTTTTTTAAAGGTGGATAGTTGAAAAGCTTGTAGAAAACTTTATATGAAATCTATTCATTTACAGAAGTGCATGAAACGTATTAAACATTACAAGCTTGGGACCTGCAAAACTCACAGGGGAAGAAAATCCTGCCCCTCTGTGCTAACCAGTGTTCCCTCTAAGCTGAGTTAGTGTGAGCTAGCTCACAGTTTTTTAGCCTCTGGCTCACACATTTTTGTCTTAGCTCAGGAAGGATGGCTCCAGAGCAAACTGATTTATACAGCAGCCAAATCACTTGCTCACAACTTTGATGCCGGTAGCTCACAAAATAGAATTTTTGCTTACAAGACTCCACAGCTTAGAGGGAACATTGGTGCTAACCCCCGTATCTCTCTCTCTCTCTCCAGGCTTCTCCCCCTCCCCATTTCCTTCCCTTTCTCTTCCAGGCTTGTCTCCACCCATCTCCCCCTTTCTTTCCCATCCACTTTCCCCTAACATTTTTCACACAAGACACTCACTAGTTCATGTTCTTGTCCCAGCCACAGCTACTAGTATTGCCAAGGCTCCAGTGTCTTGCTAGCTGAACAAAACTGATTTTTAATAGGGTTGCCAGAACTGCCTCATTGCTTGTGAACTACAAAGAAATATGTTCTAAGGGCTACCCCCTTGAGGCTGACCTGGAAACTTCAACTGGTCCAGAATGCGGCAGTGTGAGTTCTTACAGGAACCCCTATCAGAGCCCATATCCAACCAGTGCTCCACCAGCTGCACTGGCTCCAGACTGCCTACCAGATCAAGTTCAAGGAGTTGGTTTTAACCTTTAAGGCCCTTCATGGTCTGGAACCAACGCATCTTCAGGACCGCCTCTCCTGGAATACTCTCAAAAGAGCACTACGCTCTTGGAGCAATAACACACTGGTGATCCCAGGACCCAGGAGCATTCGCCTGGCTTCAAACAGCGCCAGAGCCTTCTGGGCTGTGTCTCCAGCTTGGTGGAATGCGCTTCCAAATGAGATCCAGGCCCTGCGGGACTCGGCACAGAGATGTGTCACCAAGCATACGGGTGAGGTCAGGTGGAGCCCCACCTATACCGGCTCTCCTGCCTCTTCCTCCCCCTTGTCTTCTCCTAGTGTCACTGTCATAGTGCTCTTAGGCACCATCTGATAACCTGTAAATGTCTGGAATTTACCATGTCTGATGGCACCTGGTATTTCTGGCCACTGTGTGACACAGAGTGTTGGACTAGATGGGCCTTTGGCCTGATCCAACATTGGCGTCTCTTATGTTCTTAATTGTTTTAAACTGGTACGTTTTAATTGTTTTCTAATTTTGTTATTACATGTTGTGAGGGAGAGTGGGATACAAATCGAATAAATAAATGAATAAGCCAGCATCCTCAATGCAGGCAACAGGAGACAGCTGTTGCCTCTGGGAAACACACAAACAGGGCATAAAGGTTTTGGGCCTGCTAACATGCAAGATCCTGGATCTGGTAGATCCAGTTTGGTATAGGAGAGCCAGTTTGGTGTAGTGGTTAAGTGTGCGGACTCTAATCTGGGAGAACCGGGTTTGATTCCCCACTCCTCCACTTGCACCTGGCTGGATGACCTTGGGCAAGTCGTAGTTCTGATACGAGCTGTTCTTGAAAAAGAGCAGTTTCTGTCAAGAGCTCTCTCAGCTCCACCTACCTCACAGGGCGTCTGTTGTGGGGAGGGGAAGGGAAAGGAGTTTGTAAGCCGCTCTGAGACACCTTTGGGTAGTTAAGGGCGGGGTATAAATCCAATCTCCTCCTCCTCCTCCTCCTCCTCCTCTATAGCAAGATGCTTCTTATGCTTTTATTGGACAATTATAAATGCAGAAGTGCAGAAGCAAAGGTGTTAAGCCTGCCAATGTCATAAAAATTGTGTACAATCAGCTCATGCCTACATGCTATTCAATTTCTGTTTGAATGTATAGATTTTCACCACTATAAACCCCAGAGTACAACACATCCACAACTGTTTTAGTTGAAGAGGCCCATGCAAAACCATTGTTCCCATCAATGCAACAGTTTTAGAAAGAACAATTAGCTCATGTAAGTATGCTAAGGCTTCATTCACACATTACAAACTGCATGTGGCAGACATGCGTTTTCCATGTGGACTTCATCATAATGTGTCCATCAACCTGTTGCTGGAACCAAGCAACCGTCACTTGAATGTACAGGAATGCCTCACCTGCTGCTGGTTTCCCATTCCTCCTCATCCTTCTCTTTCTCCTCTTTGGTGTCCACAGCATGTGGGTGTTTCTGCACAATTCTCATTCCACCAGCTTTGACTGCAACGAAAAGAAGCAGATATGCTGCATGAGGAGGTGTCAGGTTCCCAGTCAGACAATCACTCTTCACATGCACTTTCTTTAGTGAGTGATTTATTTAGAGATGTGAGGTGTGATGGGTTCAAACTCTTTGTTAAGACTGGTCTGCAAGGTGGGAAATGCAAGGGATAGCTGCAACCCCAAATTCCATGCATTCAACATCAGCATTACTACACTGGTCCTGAAAGATATACAACCACTATCTAGCCAGGCACAGACTTTACTCCAAGGACATTTCTCGTGGGAACAATGTCTTTGGGGCCTCTTCGGAAGATTACCAAGCCAGCCTCCCTAATTCACTACGTGCACACGCGCACCCCCCTCAGGAATGCAATGGCAGGTAAGGGCAGCGATCAGGGAAAGGGATACATGACTGCAGCAGGTGAATTATGGGGAAGGGATACAAGACATAAACAAGTAAATCATCAGGTGACAGCTATTAGCCCGTTACTGAAGGCCCGAATCTGACAGGGGGCAAGCAGACGGACCAAAAGCAAGTGAGCAAATTGTGTGTGCTTTTAATTTAAAAAAACACAAAACACACAATTCAAATAGTCACACAAGGTAGCATACTTCTGTGCTGTCTTTCAAATTTCTCACCCCATGTAAAGATCATTGTTCAACAGAAATTATTATGCATATGGGAAAAGTTAGGATTGTAAGTGATCATCATTAGAATAGAAGGAGCAGCGGGGACCCACGACACTTTGGGGGGGGGGAGTATTCCCTGCGGCTCCCACCCTGAAGCAGCAGGTGCTCCGCATGGAGGAGGAAGCGGCCACAGGTGAGCCCAGCAGGCAGGGCTGCCTGGCCCGCCAAGGCTTCTTCCCCCCGACACCAGCAATGGTGGCGAGGCCTGCGCGGCTCCCAGCAGCCAGGCCTGCTAAGGCTCCCACCCCCCGTACTGGCAATGGCGGTGAGGCCTGCACGGCTTCCAGCCACTGGCCTGCCAAGGTTCCCCTCCCCCCCAACAGCTGCAGCGAGCCCTGTGCGGATCCAAGCCTTCAACCTCCCTCGCAGCTGCCTTTGTCTACCTCTGCCACAGTTCCCAGTGCGTTCTCTGCACATGCGCAGGGAATGCTCTTTTACTTTTGGGGCAATTTAAGTATCCCCCATAACATTTTTTCAACATTTCAACATTCCGTTTATCCTCCATGTGCTCCCAATGTACGGATTTAGTTAGCCGCACACAGAGAGACCCTTGGTTATTAGATATATAGATTACATTTATATCCCACTAGGAGAAAGGCCCGCCGTGGACAGGAATGTGACAGGCCCAAGGAATCGTCCCTGGGTGAGCAGGAGGGGGTGGGCCAGGAGGGGGCGGGGGGCCTCTGCGTGGCTTCTCCCACGCACCCACTCCGGCGGGAGGGCAGGAGAAGTAACGGGGAGGGCAGCAAAGGGCTCCCCGACCCCTTCCTGGCTCACTTGGCTGGGCGGGTGGGCCAGGAGGGGACCGGGGTGCCTGTGGCTGGCTTCTCCCACTCGCCCGCTCCGGTGGGAGGGCAGGAGAAGCCACGAGGAGGGCTTCAAAGGGCTCCCCAGCCCCTTCCTGACTCTCTTGCCTCAGCGGGCGGGCCAGGAGGGGACCAGGGGGCGTCTGGCAGGCCTCTCCAGCTTGCCTGCTTCAGTGGGAGGGCAGGAGAATTGACAGGGAGGGCTGTAAAGGGCTCCCCAGCCCCTTCTTGGCTCACCTGGCTTAGCAGGCGGGCCAGGAGGGGACCAGGGGGGGGTCTGTGGGTGGCTTCTCCCACGCGGCCGCTTCGGCGGGAGGGCAGGAGAACCCACGGAGAGGGTTGTAAAGGGCTCCCGGGTCCCCTCCTGGCTCGCAAGGAGGGGGTGGGTGGCCTCTGGGCAGCTTCTCCTGCTTGCTGGCCTTGGATTTCTTTCCTCACAGGTCCACCTCGGTGGCCAGGTGGGGAAAGGTGGCGTGGACACCTCCGGAGGTCCCATGCCACCCACCCCTCCCGGAGGGCCCCAAGCGGCCGTAGAAGCCAGGCGGGGGGATTGGGGTGAAGAGGGTGGTGCGGGGGGGGGGGGATCAGAAAGGTTGTGCGGGGGCCTCAGGAGGTCTTTCTCCACCCGGCCACCGCACAGGGAAGGGTGGCGTGGGGGCCTGAGAAGGCGGGAGGAGACAGCGTGGGCGGGCGACTGACTGGCGCAGCACCGCTGTGGTCGTCCTTGGCATCCCAGGCATCCTGGTCGCAAAGCGGCCATCTTCTTCAGCAGCGGTGTGTGCGCTGAGGGCAACATGCTGGCCGCCGGACGTGTGGGTGGGACTGAGGCCACGCGGCCACCCAGCAACTGGCAGAGTTTTGGAATGGCAGTTCAGGCGGCCAACTGATTTTGGCGTGAATCGAATCCTGTCACCCCATAGGAGAGATGCCACCCCAAATCAGCTTTATAATACAGAGAGATCCCAACTTTCCTCCATCATGGAATCCAAGGCAGAAGACCACTGAGTCTTGAGGTCCCTGCCCCAGAAATAGAACTGTGTCGTTTCAGCAAGGTTGCTGTATTACACGCCTTAGGACTGGGCACTGGGACCCCCTGGGAGGGAAGAAGAGGAAGAAAGTCAGGAACATTTTTTTTTGCCAGATGGAACAAGGTATGGGCCCAACATCTTTTCCTCCTCTGCTTTGGGTATTTGGCATGAGCCAGGAACCAAACAGTTTTTGATCTTTCGTTTGCTACCTATGGCTGTGAGTGGGGTGGGCCAGTGGATCCAAGACAAGCCCAGGTTGTAGGGTATCATGATGTTTGTTTTTCCCCTATTAATTCATTTACATATTTATTTATTGTAAGATGGTTTGTTTCCCCACTGGGAAGAAAAGAGGGGTCAAAACAAACAAAACAATCTGTTTATCCAAACTTCTGATTATTCAAAACTAGTCGATATTGCCAGGAAAACCATGTCTATTTATTTATTTACTTATTACATTTGTATCCCACCCTCCCTGCAAGCAGGCTCAGGGTGGGTTACATCAATCTCAATACAATTAAAAACAACTTTAAAATAAAAGTTTAAAACAGAACAGAATCATAATATCATAATATACCACGTAAAGCAAATTAGATCAGATGGTTTCGATGCCGGATAGTTGTGTAGAGAACTGTATTTAAAAGTAACACTGAAATTATCAACATTACATTCACCAAGAGGAATAAACCTTTTTAGTTTCACTGTTGGAGCCAACACCAAGTTTGCTCTGAAGAACTGTCTAATCAAAAGCTCTCCATCACAGCCAGGTTATTATCTTATTTTATTTCTGCATTGTTTCCATTAACCGAATCTGGACTTTCAGCTCTACCCAGCTTCACTCCTACTGAGTCAAATTGCTACAACCAGTTTAACAGATAAGAACAGTGGCTCACCAATATAGGAAAAATCAAATTCTTAAAGCTGTTTGCTGGCAAATAGCTTCCTTATAAAAGGAATCAAGACATTAAAAAATCCAAGTAGCAAACCAGGTTTTCCCAGTGAGCCTGCAAAGTGGATTTTAGCTGGCAGTAACGTCATCTGGGTTGCAGATGAAAATCTCCCCAATATTATCTCCAGAGATCTATCTCCCTGGAATTGCAGGAAATAATCCGACTACTAAAAATGGAAGTAGACATGAATCTGCAATATGCACACATCTGAAAAATGCTTGGTTAATTACAAGAATTCCCCTGTTGGCAGAATGCAGAACTTCCCACAACACAAACCCTTGCTCTCCTCTAACAAGTCTGTAAAATCATTAATAGCTGTACCTACACATGAGCCCCCCTTTCCTTTTCATCACAAAAGGATCCATTGTCAGACCCCTGAGTCAATCCACTCTCAGCCTAATAGTCTTTTCATAAAAGCTTTATTAGAAACAGATTTAGATGTGCACAAGAGAGAACTCTTGTTCAGACTAAGGAATAGATCAAGGGTTAGGCATTGTATAGGAATAGATCAATGTCCCATAATGCAATGGTCATGCAGGGGGCATTCACTCCCCCACCCTCTTTCACTCCCCCTGCCTACTACCCCGCACTACAAAGATTATTATCTAGCAACAGATGTCTCTTCAAGGATGAGAGTCTCTTGGGGCTCGTTCTCATGGGAGAGTCATTACCAGCAAAGCTAACCTGACACCCACATACACACATACAGATATATGGCATTCACACCTACTCCCCCCCCATCCCTCGGAATCTTTATGGCAAAGAGGGCTAGCAAGGGTTGAGACCAAATGGTCAAAAAACCGAAAAAGAACTACAAAGACAGAAACCAACGAAAACATTAGTCAACATGACAATCAGCAGAGTCCAATTCTGACATCCAGCAGCACCAATTTTCTGTTAAAAATAATTCCCTTCAGAGCAATGACAAAATAAACAAAAAAGGGAATCTGAGGGGAGAAATATTTTGCAGACAGCTGGGGAAATGCTTATTTTGCCTGAGATCTTCTTCGTTCTACTGGGAGCAAAAGATCTGCACAAGCAAGGAGCCAATACATGGAGTCGCTTTGGTGGTGGGAAGCGCTGCTCAGCTGCAGCTGACTTATGGCGATCCCACAGGGGGTTTTCACAGCAAGAGACTTCCAGAGGGGTTCTCCCATCGCCTGTTTCTGAATAGCAACCCTGGACTGCCATGGTGGTCTCCCACCTGAGTGCTAACCGGGGCCGACCCTGCTTAGCTTCCAAGATCTGACAAGACTGGGCTAGCCCAGGCCATCCAATTCGGGGAAGGGGTAGATTTGGGTCTACTTAAACCACAGACTAAATTACTGTCATCGGTTTCAGTTCTTCCATCTGTTAAACGTGAAGAACTACCTACTTCACAAAGCTCATGTGAGAATTAATAAAGTATTCGCCTTGCCTTCTGAGACAGGAGAGCTGCAAATCCTAAGAACGCACTCCGGGAAGTATGTCCCACTGAAGCAAATGTGACTTACTTTTGAGTAGACCAGCTCCGGATTGCTTCTGATGTA